GATTGCCAGTATTTAGCATCATAAAGCTTGGTTGACATAGGCGCTTCAAAAGACTGCTTTGTCAAGATTATGCGAGGTTAAGTACATGCTTAAAAATAGGCTTAATTGAGCAAATTGGAAGTTATCATTATTCCTCACAAGTAATATATGCTCATTAGGAGTTTGGCTCCGAGTATAGAATATGATAGAACTTATTGACAAACGTCAACTGGATGAACAAAAAGGAGACGCGGAGGAAGCAAGGATCGTAGCAGACGTACTACTTACAACACGATCACAAGAGTGGAACATAAAATGCAAAAGTAGATTTTGGTACTTTTTGATGGATAGAAAAAGATCATTCGACTGGTATTGGGCGACGACAGGGCGGGCTGAAAAACGGTTCTGCTCGTTGTTAGATGATGGCTCGCCTCAAGAAAATGTTCACTCTTCGTCCAACCGCCATTTGGGTATGTGTCAGCCTCGCTTGCTGCGAGCCCAGTTGTTTATGCAATGCCGAACTTCGGTTGGCCACGCAAGTTGGATAACGGGCCTTTTGGGACGGTAAGAGAAAGTGATAATTCAAGTCATTTTTGAGATTGAAACAAGTATCACGAGTACTTTTGTACATTTAGCCTGTTTGAAAAATGCATCGTTGCATATTTTTTCTTTCTTTATCCGTTTATTGAATTCCCATCAGCTTGAATTGACAATTTAAAAAACATTTTAATCAGCACCTCATACAGGCCTATTGATCATCTCTTTGCGCAACTAATAAGAGATAATAAAAGAAAAATGTGACAAAATACGTTTTTGTAAAATTCAGTATTTTCCTCTGCTGCCATGAGGTAGTACGCATTTTTTGTGTATAAGTATGTTTTCCCATAATCATGTGAGTAGACTTTAGGTTTTCATTGAATCTCACACAGCCTTGTCTCCCAAAAGTTATTCCCATCCAGACAAGAATAGACTGAAATTTCGACAGCAGCTTCATTGGAACTCGAGCCGTCATACTCCAGAATATAATCCAGACACGTCATCCACTAGAATGAATTATTTCTACAAAGAATTGTTGTACTCCTTGAGGCTTCTGTACCTTAGCAAGGCTAAGGGCGTTTTCCCATATCACACTCCGCGGCGCGATTGTTAATGTTATAGCAACATTGTATTTGCTATTGCATTCAATGAAATTACTTATTTTTCGTTTATAAGTAGGTTTTTGAGAATAATAAATGACATAAGTTTGATACAGCTTATATGCATGATCTACTTGTAGTCTCTCAAACCTTTTTATGAACAAAATTGACATGTATGAGATGAATTCCTCCTATTTAGTTTAGGGGGATGATAGACTAATAGTTGAATTTTCCCATAATCATATGAACCAAAAGATATTCCCATCCTGGCAGAAGCAAACTGCAGTTTCGACAGCACCCTAGTGGGACTCGAACTGTCAGAATGCAGCCTATAATCCAGACACGTTAGCCGCTAGAATACATCTTTCGTCATCTTGACGAAAGAGGGTGCATAAGTACATGTGTATTGTTGGAAAACCCATTTTCATAGTCTGCCAAGTTATGATTGATAAAAGAAAGTGTTCAAATCTTAGAGCCTCACAACATATCGCCTCAATTTGGGGGTGTGCTTTAATGCACCCAAAAGGACCAGTCAGTACAGCTTTTGTGTATATCTTATTGTAATGGGAAAATTCACCACATCCTCCATTCTTGGGCAGTTCTGGCGACTATAAGCTCGCATACTAAACAGAAGTTCTCTCATTCTATAATGACTTTTGCAGCTTTTAACTAAGATACGCAGTAGAGCAGAGCGAAGCAAAGCCGCATTTGTTCAGAAAGGATCAGACAATTCCCATTCATTCGAATCGGTAGAGCCGATAAATACGATTACAGCCTAGTTGCCTGGGCCGGTTACTGGGAGTAATTCAGTATCTGAGAGGAAAATTGTCACCGTTCATTTCGTTGCGCTAGTCTAAAACCAAGCATTATGTGAAATAATCCCCAAACGGATCCTCTTTTAGGTCTCATCGGGTATTAGCAGTTGTTGAAGGTGACTGTTAATGTCCTCCTCGTTCGCTTATGATATCAAAAACACAATATTTTATACAATTACCCACGGCTACATTTCAACCATTATTTTTAGGTTAAATGAAGGCCTACTTAATGAACACTTGATTGGCGTTTATTACGGATTAAGTATGCATTAAATGATGCATTTACTCACAAAAGCACCATCTACTGCTCTTTTTTTTCGATGAAATTGGTCAAGTACAATCACTAACTCTAGTGAGCTTAGATAGATTAATTGATTTTTTC